AATGAAATAGTGAAATAAACTCCAAAATCCAAGAAGTGCAGTTGAGACATTAACCACATCAATTCCAATATTAACCTGAAAACATATATCATTTCTGGAGAAATACCATTGGTTAATCCATTCATTCTCTTTCCATAAGAAAACATTTATAAACAATCAATCAAAAGTTGTATTTTACACATGTTACAGTCCTCAGGATACAGGGATGCTTTGTTAGCCTGGGCTTATCAACCACGGTCGTAAAAGTGACCCCCAAATTCCATATCCTGGGTGTTTTCCTGAGCACTGTGGGATATGGAGCAGCAACCTTGACCTCTACCTCTTGCATGTCAGCAGCTCTGCAAAAGTTGTGAGAGCCACAGATGTCTCAGATCACTGCTGTTTGACCCATGGGTAGGGAGAGCGGTGAAAACCTGTGTTGGATGAGTGTTTAGCAGGCAATGACTTGGAGGAAGGAGGTGTGCCATGAGTACTTCAAGACAGAAGTTTGAGAACACAGGGTAGCATGCCTACGAGAAGGATCATGCTTTTCATAGATATCAGACTACTGAAATGTAGGTTGAAGATGAAACCCAGTCTGGGGCTCAGAAGAAAACTTGCCTTATAACCTGCATATTTGTCTTTCACACAGGCCACTTGTCCCTGCTCAGTACCCTAAAACTGTGATATGGATTGAATTCCACCTTCTTTCTCCACCTACTCTTTTGATATCTTGTTCCCAGGAATCCTTGGAATCCAGGCCCAGGAAGTGTCTAAGGAGACCCTGATATGAAAGAAAAATGGACATTTCATCACCCCTTTCTCCTCCTGCAATGTCACTATTCTTGCAGAAGCTGTGTCTTATAAATAATTTTAAGTGATTATTTGATTTTTCATTGCAGGCCTAGTTTACCTCATTACAACTTCTAAGCCATCATCAAGATAATGTTTTTGGGCTGTGGGTATAAGCTCAATGGTACTGCACCTGCCCAAAATGCATGAAGACCTGGATTCCTTCCCCAGCACTGCAAAATAATAATAATAACAAGATGATGATTCCAAGCGACACAATCTTTGGGGTTTTCCTCATCTCTCAGCTGTGCATTGGTGTCCTGGGGAACTCACTGCTCTTCCTGTTATATGCCTACACCTTCTTAGTTAAACCCCATCTGAAGAAGCACATTGATCCCATAGTTATGCACCTGGTGTTGGCCAATGCTTTGACCATCATGTTCACGTTGGTACCAGATATTGCATCCACCTTTGGAGTAAGGCGGTTTTTGAACAAGGTTGGTTGTCAGACAGTTTTGTTCTTATACAGAGTGACGGGGTGTTTGCATCTGCACCACCTCTCTGCTGAGTGCATTTCAAGCCATCACTGTCAGTCCCAGTAACTCTAAGTGGGCGTGGCTTAAATTTAAGCTTCCTAAATGGAAGTATCCCTTGTTCCTTTTCTTCTGGGTCCTCAACATGGTTGTCTACTTCCATGTCATTGAAACCATTACAGCCATTAGCAACTTCACTCTGATTGGTCCTGGGTATGCTCATGCCTACTGCCAAAATAAATACTTTGGAAAACATAAATCACCGTCATTGTTTATTGCCATGCTGGTTCGAGACCTGCTGTTTGTGCTCCTTATGACCGGCACCAGCCTGTACATGGTGAATCTCCTCTACAGACACCGCAGGAGAGCCCAGCACGTCCACAGCCCCCGTGTCTCCTCCCAGACATCTCCTGAACACAAAGCCACCCGCACCATCCTCTTGCTTGTAGGTTGCTTTGTGTTCTTTTATTTCTCAAACAACTGCTTCTCTCTTTATTCCTATAATGCACGCTATAAAATTCCAAGATCAGAGGGGATTAGTGGAGCTTTATCATCATGCTACCCCACCATCTGCCCATTTTTGCTGATGAAAAATAATAGAATTGTTTCTCAGTTTACATCATTCTTCTGAAAACGAATGTGACAGGTTTCCAAAGGGCAAATAATGGCAGATCTGAGGCCCGAAGATACAATTTGCAGCAGGGCAGGGTCCCTAATGTTTACATGGGAAAAGAAAGGCCATGCTGCCTTGAATACTTCAAATGGCAGAAGTGTGAGCTCAGATATTCTATAAGTGTACAGTGCACTCAGAATTAGAAGACATAGTGTGAACAAATGTACAGAGACAACATTGATGATTTCCACTTTTATTTAGTGTTTAAATTGTAATTTGAATAAAATGAATTCATTCATTTATACTCTTCAAAATATTTCATATGGGGGGATAGTAGAGGATAGGAAAGGCAGCAGAATTCAACATACACTAGTATGGCAGTATGTAAAAATGTGGATGTGTAACCGATGTGATTCTACAATCTGTATAAGGGGTAAAAATGGGAGTTCATAACCCACTTGAATCAAATGTATGAAATATGATATGTCAAGAACTATGTAATGTTTTGAATAACCAATAATAAAAATTAAAAAAAGAAAAAAAAAGATAATAAAAAATATTTCATATGCAGGCTTATTTTTTTTAAACAGCCATGGGAAAATGTAAAATTCAAATTTGGGTTCCCATGATACTTCTATTAAAGTGTGCTGGCCTATGAAACTGCTTCGGTGTATCCCACAAATGCACACTTCCAACCATTCATTTTCAGACACCACTTTAGGGCTTCAATGTACCCAGGGTTCTGAGAGCAAAGGGACTACATAGGCTCTTCATGGTGTAGGAAAATTTTTAAAGTTAATATTCATAAGAAATCCCATGGTTTGAGGTATTCACTAAGATGTTTTAATACATCTCTTTAATATTGATAAAATTGTTATTTATTTGACATATAGCTACTAGTTAATGTAAAAGAAATGACAATAACTAATATACACAATAATCTAAAATCTATTCGCTAAACATCAAGTTGAATTGTTTCAATCTTTTCACTAAAGACAACTTTATCATTGAAAGACTGTCCCAAATATAATTATTTAATGTAGGGTTTTAATCAAGGAATCTATAGTGGCCAATAAGAGCTTCTAAATGCATTATGTGACCAGGTTAAACCCTTTTAATACGAATAAAAATAACTTTCAGCAGCTTTACCCTAAACACTCTAACTAAGGAGATATGCTGGCCTCAGGCTGGTAATCACAGGTCTTAGATCCTCAAGCCAATCGTCATCTGCAGGCCACACAAACAAAATGAGTAATGAGTTTCACAAGGTGAGTACAGAGTTTCAAACACAGATGTGCTCTGTATATTGAAGGGGAATAATACCTAATTCCCAGGGCATACAGTGCAATAAGAGCACAGACCTGCCAGTAGCCACACTTATACCCCTCCAATATGGCCTTAGGACAGCACTGGAAGCGGGGACAATATTACAGGTTTTCAGCTTTTTCCAGAGTTTGAGCAGGTTAACCAGCAAAACCAGGGTGGCCACGTGCAGGCTGCAGTTTCTTCAGACTCTAAAAGAGCTAAAAAATGCTTGCTGTACTTAATGGTCCAAAATCAGCCTTCATTCAAAGTCTGCTTTGCCAGGGGCTAGAAGGAAGTTCTCCTTCAAAGAATAGCCTGACAGTTAAAAGAAACAGCCCCCTGGGAGACATCCTGTAGCCATCTATCTCCCTGAGACATCCTTCCGCCATCTGTCTTCCTGAAACATCCTGAGGTTATCTCACCTTGTGAAGACATCCAGCAACTGCTGATAAGAGAGCTTCCCCATCCCCAGCATATAAATACCCCTGTGTGAACAATAAAAGTTTGCAGCTTGATCAGACTCCTGTCTTGCTGTCACCTTTCGTGTCTCTTGTCCCTTCATTCCTCCCCATCTAGGTTCGCTGCCCATGTTGATGTGTCCTGCCGGTCGGGACATGCTTGATTCTTTATGCAATGAGCCCCCACATGATTGGATTTCTCTGGCCAAAACTTATTTATTGGGGGGTGATAATCTGCTTTGGTGATCTCACTGGACTCATAATTGCACTGAACAGGCTGAGAGAAACCAGAGACAAGTCTTTGATGCCCCTTTGGAGATGTTAACTGGAAGTGGAGAATTTGCAGATTTGGAAAGGCAGATAAATTATAATCTAGCAATTTATGATCAAATTACTGCATGTGTCAAAAGGTGTGGAGGGAATTGCCTAATAGAGGTGAATCAGCTTTGGATTTTAGTCAAATCTGACAAGGATCAGAGGAGCCATTCTCAGATTTTGTGGCACGTCTCTACGAGGCAGCCAACAGATCAAAAAGAGACTGGAATGCCTCTGAGTCCCTGGTCAAGCAGCTAGCATTTGAAAATGCTAGTAAACTTTGTCAGGAGATCCTCCAACCCAATCGAAAAGGGGGGACTGTTTCTGAATTTATTCACCTTTGTGCAGATGTGGGTCCAACACAGATACAGGGCTTAACACTTGCTGAGACTCTGAAACAGGTGCTACAACCTCAGTCTTGGACAGCCATTCTCACAGGTGGTGTTTCAACTGTGGTAGAACTAGGCACATGGCTCAGGACTGTGAGTCCCTGCGCAACAGGGCAGAGACCTCTCCTGGTTTGCGTAGATGTCGCTACTGGAGAGATGACCACTTGGCGTGGGAAAACTCCGATAGATATGGTGGGAGCAGCTGGCCACTATGTCTAACTTCCTACTTCTCTGCTGCTGGGAAACCAGGGCGGGGCCTGCATGGCCCCTCAAACAGTAGGGGGTTACAGTGTAAGCGGGAAGAGGAGTCACAGACTCCTATGTCATTAGGGCCGGCCATGTGGGCTCGTCACTACTACCAGCCGACTCCACACAGACGTTACAGTTATGGCCAGCTGTGAGAGTAACCCTTTACCCTAAAATAGGGCCAGAAATCAAACTCATTGTACAGTCAAATTGCACTACTCAGCTCTCTTCAAGAGATGTATTGGTGCAAGTGATATTCTTGTCTTGCCACTCCACGAATGGCCCAGATGAGACCTCAACAACTCACAAAAGACAAATAAGAAAAACATGATCTCTCAAAATGTTCAAAACACGAGCACTCCTTACTTACCAAATGGTGAATGAAACTCTATTATGTAAAGCATTGTGGAATGTGTCTTCTGGAAGGAAATGTGGAGACCACATAAGAACGTTGAAGGAGTGATGGCATTAGAACAGGAATAGCAGAATGAGTTCTAAAATAAAGAAGAGAATTTCCATGAAAAAGTGTAGAATAATATCAACAACCCTAAATAGGAAAAACAAAGTCAAACACCATTTCATGTTCAGAACACTAGAAAAACTAGGGATAGTAGGAACATAACTCAACATTGTAAAAGCTATCTATGCTAAGCCAAGGCCACCGTTATTCTAAATGGAGAAAAACTGGAGGCATTACCTCTAAGAACCGGAACAAGACAGGGTGTCCTCTCTCACCACTTCTATTCAACATAGTCCTTTGCAGAGGTCCAGCCCCTGCGGCGGGAGAGAGGGTCCAGTGTGGTCCTGAAGGAGGAGTGGCGTCGGTGAAAGAAGAAGAGTCGGGACAACAGGTTGCAAGTTATGAGCAACCTCCAGAAGACATCTAATTGCCCCTGGAGGGATCTTTATTTTTATACTTTTTTTAACAGGTGTTCTTTCAGGTAGTTAATGGATAGCTTCAAAGCCCTAAATTTTTTTGATTTACATAATTTTCAAGAGTTACAATCTTTTCTGATATATTGATTTCTTAAGATATTAAGTACATTGTTCAAAATATTTTTCTGTAACCTTAGACAACACAATGAAGCTTTTACGTTTTCACCTCAACCACTAAGTGCTAGGTGATCCAACTAGACTACATGACTCCTGACCTATTATTCACTTCTAACTTTAAAGCATACCTTATGGCATGTCTCCATTGTATCCTTAGTCTCATTCTGGAATTTTTCCTGCAATCTCAGGCAATAGGTACTTTTATTATTGATTGACGTATGCCCTGTTATCCATATCATGAGGATCATAAACTTAACATTCCTAATGGTTCCGGTTTCCAGATGGTACAGCCTTGCCGCAGCATCCCCCATGCTGTGACCCTGTCAGACAGCGGGTGCAGGAACGCATTCACCAGTCCTTAAAACTTTAGCCAGAGCAATTAGATGAAAGAAATTAAAGGGATACAAATAGGAAAAGAAGAACTCAAACTAACACTATTTGCCAGCAACATGATTCTCTACTTAAAGAATCCAAAAAATTCCACCAGAAAACTTCTAGAATTAATAAATGAATTTGGCAAAGTAGCAGGATATAAAACCAACACCCATAAATCAAATGCATTTCTATACATCAGTGATGAATCCTCTGAAAAACAAATTAGGAAAACTATCCCATTCACAATAGCCTCAAAAAAAAAATAGTTGGGAATCAACAAAAGAGGTGAAAGACCTCTATGATGAAAACTACAGAACACTAAAGAAAGAAACTGAAGAAGACCTTAGAAGATGGACAGATATCCATGCTCCTGGATAGGCAGAATTAATATTGTCAAAATGGCCATAACAAAAAAGCATTATACAGACTTAATGTAATTCCAATTAAAATCCCAATGACATTCCTCATAGAGATAAAAAAAAAAGTCATGATGAAATTCATTTGGAAAGGGCTGGGGATGTGGCTCAAGCAGTAGCCTCTCGCCTGGCACGCGTGCGGCCCGGGTTCGATCCTCAGCACCACATACCAACAAAGATGTTGTGTCTGCCGAGAACTAAAAAATAAATATTAAAAAAAAAAAGTCTCTCTCTCTCTCTCTCTCTCTCTCTCTCTCTCTCTCTCTCTCTTAAAAAAAAAAAAAACAGAAAGAAAGAAATTCATTTGGAAAAATAAGAGACCCAGAAGAGTCAAAGCAATCCTTAGCAAGAAGAATGAAGCAGGAGTCATCGCATTACCAGACCTTAAACCGTACTACAGAGCTACAGTAACAAAAACAGCAAGAATCAATAAATGGGATGGATTCAAACTAAAACGCTTCTTCTCAGCAAAAGAAACAATAAGTGAGGTGAACAGAGGCCTACAGAATGGGAGCAAATTTTTACCACACACACATCAGATAGAGCACTAATCTCTAGGATATATCAGAAACTCAACACTGAAAAACAAATAACCCAATCAATAAATAGGCCAAGGAACTGAACAGACACATCTTAGAAGAAGATATACAATTGATCAAAAAATATATGAGAAAATGTTCAACATTTCTAGCAGTGAGAGAAATGCAAATCAAAACTACCCCAAGATTACATCTCACTCCAGTCAGAATGGCATTTATCAAGAATACAAGCAACAAGTGTTGGCGCGGATGTGGGGGAAAAGGCACATTCATACACTGCTGGTGGGACTGCAAATTGGTGCAACCAATCTGGACAGCAGTATGAAATTCCTTAAAAAACTTGGAATAGAACCACGATTTGACCCAGCTATCCCACTCCTCAGTCTATGCCCAAAAGACTTAAAAACAGCATGCCACAGGGACAGCCACGTCAATGTTTACAGCAGCACAACTCACAATAGCTAAACTGTGGAACCAACCTAGGTGCCCTTCAATAGATGAACAGATAAAGAAACTGTGATATATATATATATATATATATATAAATAAATGGATGGAGCTGGAGAATATCATGCTAGGTAAGCCAATCCGAAAAAAACAAAGACGGAATGTTTTCTCTGATTCGTGGATGCTGAACCATAATGGGGGAAGGGGATGGGAGGAAGGGAGGGACTTTGGATAAGGCAAAGGGAAGGGAGAGGAAGGAAGGGGGCATGGGGGTAGGAAAGATAGTGGAATAAGATGGGCATCATTCCCCTAGGTACATGTATGATGACACGAATAGTGTGACTCTACTTCCTGTCCAACCAGAGAAATGAAAACTCAGGCTCCGTATGTATACTATGAATCGAAATACATTCCTCTGTCGTGTATAACTATTAGAACAAATAAATAAATTTTTTTTAAAAAAAGAAAGAGAACATCACTAGTTTCCCCCCAAACTCTCTCTTTTCCCCTTCTAACCATCCTCAAAGGTATCCACTAACTGACTAATACCACCCCATCACTATTGTTTTTAGTTTAAATTCTTGCTCATTCATTTCATAAAGTCTCTATTGTGCTTTTATCTGGGAATTCTCAATGGTTATTACTGTCTAATTGTTCTGTTTAGTTCTACCGTGTGTCTCTGGTGGCTGCTCAGATAGTCCTAGTTCTGGCTTCTGGACCTCTCAGAGGTGACATCACTCTTCCCTATCTGCTTGCTGGTGCTCAGGTGCAGAGCATCCCAGGAGGAAGACACCGCAAGAACCCAAGGACAGCCGGGCGCGGTGGCGCTGGAATGTAAACCCAGAGGCTCGCGAGGCTGAGGCAGGAGGATCTCGAGTTCAAAGCCAGGATCAGCAACTCAGCGAGACCTTGTCTCAAAATAAACTATAAAACAAGGCCGGGATGTGGGTCGGGGTTAAGCGCCCGAGGCTCAATTCCCGGTACCAAAGGGGAAAAAAAAGAAAAAGAACTCAGGGAAAGGAAATCTCCACCGCACCCATCATAACCTAGCTGGTGACGCAATCAGCCACCAACCCTCCCGAGACACCGGAAGGAAGCCTCTCAGCCCGGGTTTCAGGAACACCGGGCCCATCCTCCCACACGTAGAAAGAAATCAGACGACCCTGGGACCTACAGGGAATGGCCTGCCGGAGCCGGCCGCCCTGAGAGCCCCGGCGCCGGGGACAGGGCACGTCCACCCTGTGTCAGGGGAGCCGCTTCGGCGGGCCGATTAACACACTCAGTGGAAAACTGCTAGCCCCTTACTTCTGCTTCCTCGCTTTCCGTTTGCTTTTCAAGTTTCGTCCCTCTTCTCCCTCAGGTAACAGGTGAGGAGGAAGCTAGGCTCCATATTGTGCGTCTGCGGAACTCGTCCCCATCCGAACCCCTGAACTTTGGTTCCGGTATATTCTGCTCGCCTGGAAATGATGCCCTGGTAGAATTTGAATCTAACTCAAAAGATTTCAGAATAGTTTGTACTTTTGAAACAAGTGGAAGAATCTTGGCAAATTGCAACATTTTTTTTTATCAATCAGAGATTATTAAAAAAAATCAAAAATACAGAAAATTTGTATTAGTCATTTTACATATTTCCAAGATGCTTAACAGGTTGAGGTAACATTCAAGCATTTCCTGTAATCATCTGTGGTTATAAATCAAGATTTAGGGCTGGGACTGTGGCTCAGTGGTAGAGCGCTCGACTCGCATGTGTGGGGCCCTGGGTTCAGCACTACATAAATAAAATAAAGATATTGTGACTACCTACAACTAAAAAAAAAAAAATCAAGATTTAGTTTCCTTTTAATAATGAAATTTTGCATTTTCCTGACAGTGGTGTCTAGGCCTGACATCTTGCCTCAGAAAGACATTTACTATCTGTTAAAGTGGTTGCAGAGATAATTTTATATGTTTCTTTTCATATTTTTCACTGGAGATTACTGTATATTTTGGTGCATGGGATATAACATGCCATGTAGCCAAGACCCTAAAGGTTCTTTAACCACACCATGGTTACCCAGCATAGAGTTCCTGGCAATTTCTCATAGGTCCTGAATAAATATTTCCATTTATATGGTTTTATATTTTACCTGTGGGGTTAGAGCACCCTGCGTGAAATTATTGATTCAAAGAGAATTAGCCAATTTACAGCTAGAGTGTTTCCAAATTAATTTTCAAAGTTTTTGCACAAATCACATTGTGCAAAATAAAAAGTAAAGAATAAGATAGTCTGGCATGTTTTACTCTCTCTAGAATAAAGAATAAAAACTTGTTTTCCAATTTATGGGAAAACAAATCTCAATTCTCAGTTATGTAGTTAATAACAAGGTTGATGATTTGTGATGTTAATATGTTTGGATAGATCTGGTTTATTTGTTTTGTTTGTTTGTTTCTTTGTTTGTTTTCCTATTTGAGAGCCAAGGGAGACCAAGAATGAAAGACTAAAGGTGGAAAAAAGCAAGGGAGTTTAGGTGCCAGTATTTCTATTCCTTTTTTTATTAATTTTTTTATTTATATATTGACAGCAGAATGCATTACAATTCATATTACACATATAGAGCACAAATTTTTCATATCTCTGATTGTATACAAAGTATATTCACACCAACTCATGTCTTCATACATGTACTTTGAATAATACTGTCCATCACATTCCACCATCATTTCTAACCCCCTGCCCCCTCCCTTCCTCTCCCACCCCCTGCCCTATCTAGAGTTCATCTATTCCTTTAATGCTCCCCCTCCCTACCCCACTATGAATCAGCCTCCTTATATCACAGAAATCATTCAGCATTTAGGTTTTGGGGATTGGCTAACTTCACTTAGTATTATCTTCTCTAACTCCACCATTTACCTGCATATGCTATGATTTTATACTTTTTTATTACTGAGTAAAATTCCATTGTGTATATATGCCACATATTTTTTTATCCATTCATCCACTGAAGGGCATCTAGGTTGGCTCCACAGTTTGGCTATTGTGAATTGTGCTGCTATAAACATTGATGTGGCTGTGTCCCTGTAGTATGCTATTTTAAGTCCTTTGGGGATAGACCAAGGAGAGGGATAGCTGGGTCCAATGGTGGTTCCATTCCCAATTTTCCAAGGAATCTCCATACTGCTTTCCCTATTGGCTGCACCAATTTGCAGTCCCACCAGCAGTGTATGAGTGTACCTTTTCCCCACATCCTTGCAAACACTTGTTGTTGTTTATATTTATAATAGCTGCTATTCTGACTGGAGTGAGATGATATTTTAGAGTAGTTTTGATTTGCATTTCTTTAATTGCTAGCAATGATTAACATTTTTTCTTGTATTTGTTGATTGATTGTATATTATCTTCTGAGAAGTGTCTGTTCAGGTCATTGGCCCATTTATTGATTGGGTTGTGTTTTTTGTTTGTTTTGTTTTGTTTTTTGGTGTTTAGCTTTTTGAGTTCTTTATATACTCTATAGAGATTAGTGCTCTGATTGTGAGGGGTAAAAATTTGCTCCCAAGATGTAGGCCCTCTAATCACCTCAGAGATTGTTTCTTCTGCTGAGAAGAAACTTTTTAGTTTGAATCCATCCCATTTATTGATTCTTGGTTTTAATTCTTGCGTTATAAGAGTCTTATTAAGGAAGTTGGGGGCCTAATTCCATATGATGGAGATTAGAGCCCACTTTTTCTTCTATTAAACGCAGGGTCTCTAGTTTTATTCCTAGGTCCTTGATCCATTTTGAGTAGAGTTTTGTGCATGATGAGAGATAGAGATTTAACTTCCTTTTGTTGCATATGGCTTTCCAGTTTTCCCAGCACCATTTACTGAAGAGCCTATCTTTTCTCCAATGCATGTTTTTGGCACCTTTGTCTAATATACCATATTTGTAATTTTGTGGATTAGTCTCTGTGTCCTCTATTCTGACACTAAGGTTAAAGGAGGAAAAAGGATCTTTCCAAAATCACACCAATAACATGTAAAAGCCAACTGTAAATATCAATTTTGCACTCTTTCTAAGTATGTCAGAGTGTAGGCCTTACTCTGCTTATAGTGCCCAGTTCACTTCCTCAACTCCAAACCAATCAATGCTCAGCAAGGGGCCTCCCCGAGAGGCTGTTGTCCTTCAGACATGATCCATTCCTGGCTATTTCAGGCAGGACCTTCGGAAACCATGGGTGATACCGAAAATAAGGCACAATGTACCCCTTCAACAAGAATGCCATAACTGTGAGATAAGAAATGGCAATTGTAAAATGAGGTGCAACTGCTCCTCAGAGTCATCTTGCGTTCAAAAAGATCTAGAACCAACAATCTCACCTATTAAAATTCCTTTAATTATTATTTCCCAAGAGTTGTGGTTCTTATTCCCTAAAGGAGCTGGAGATGGGCATTTTTTCAATTCTTTGCAGCTTCTTCGTCCCTGCAGCACCTGGGGGAGCCGCTGCAGCTGGAGGCCTGTGGAGGGGATGGGGTCTCTCCAGCTGCAACTCAGCTGCCCCAGCACCACCTGCCGAATGCCAGCAAGGATGCTCTGCGGGTCGGTGCCTATGAGCACCAAGTAATGCCCGACTGCCTCCAAGTCACAAGAAAACACCTTCCTTTAGTCAAATGACTGAGATATCTCAGACCTCTCCTGTGGCCTGGTCTGACAGCCAAAATTCTACAGAAATTTATGTTTTTCTACTCAAATAAGGAAACTGAGTGAAGAAATAGAATTGTTTTAAATAATAATGGCCTGGCTGTCCTGGTGAAGTGCTTTGTATTAAGATAAACAAACACCTTACCACCAAACATACCTAACTACACCTCTTTAATACGTGAGTTAAGGATGTTGCTAAACCTAGAATATCATGTATGTTTGATTTGCTGGGTGTTTAGATTTTAGGAAGGAAAACACTTTTGTTTATTAAAAAATGGAATATTTGTAATTTTTTGTTCCTAAGATTTTTATACTTCTTTTCATAAATTGACAATCACTAAATGAAGACAAGAAAGTATAAAATTGGGGGAAAAGAATAGACTTTACTAATCAAATGATGCCTTGATTTTTCTAAATGAGAAGATTGTTTTATCTTTAACCCCAAATACAGGAGACATTCCTTAGTAAACTTGTTTGGAAAGATTCGTGTTATGAAGTATATTAGGTTACCCCATCTTATGTATGAAGCAGATTTGATCTCTTTTTTAAGTTCCTTTACTCTATAGTTGTGATTGCACTTTGTAAAAGATACTACATTATTTTATGTCTTTAAAAAATGTTTAAGTGTGGCCTACATACAGAACATTGCAAATGGTTAAATACAAAGTAATGTGAAAACATCGTGACCTAAAAGAATTCTTCACATCACAAGTGTTTTACTTAGATGATGTGCCTTTGATTTAATTTGGGATACTTTTAAAAGGATACTTCATGTTTGTGCTAATCTTCAGAAAGCTTGGAAATAAATTCTGTTTAGTTCAAAAAATAAAAATTATTTTCAGTGGTTTTATTCTTAAAATAAGCATGAGCTCACTTTATGCTTCGAATGGCCATATTTAGTAAATTATAATATCCCTATTTTATTTTTCATATTGTTAATTTCCATAATAATTGTATATATTGAGGAGCTACAATGTGATCATTTAATACATGTGTATAATAGGGAATGGTCAAATCAGGATACTTAGCATTCTCATCTCCTTAAATCTTTTTTTTTTTAAGGCGAGAGAGAGAGAGAATATCTTTTTTGTAGATGGACACAACACAGTGCCTTTATTTTTATGTGGTGTGTGGTGCTAAGAATCGAACCGGGTCCTGCCCGTGCTAAGAGAGCGCTCTACCACTGAGCCACAATCCCAGCCCCTCCTTAAATCTTCATCAGGTCTTTGTGTTGGAAATGTTTGAACTCCTCTCTTCCAGTCTTTTATATATTGTATTCTAAATTGCTGTAAACTATAGTGACCATGTCATGCCTGGCCTCAGACGACCAGAACTTATTTCTCCACCTGACTATTTTGGCACCTGTATCAAGCCCCCTCCACTTCCTGTCCCCACCCACTCAGCCTCCAGTAACCAAGTAACCAAGTAACCATGGTTCTCTATCCACCTCAGGCTTAGTTCTGTCTTCAGGGACCCTAAGCAATTTAGAGAGACCCTGTCTCAAAAACAAAAACAAAAACAAGAAATTTTAAAGGCTGTGGATATAGTTCAGTAGTTAAGCATCCCTGGGTTCAATCCCTAGTATCAATTAAAAAAAAAAAAAAAAAAAGAGGAAGCTAAGCCTTGTGTATTTTTCCAGCAATGTGGTATTGAGACCTAGGTTACTCTTCTCCATGGAATATACATGCTTCCTAGAATAGTAAATTTAACAACATGCTGAACTATCTACCTCCTTTTTTAATTCAACTGTCCATGAGAT